ATCGCTTTGAAATTTTCACCGCTGACTGATTTTGGATTGAAGTTTGTGAAAATGTTGTTTTAAATAGAATCGATATCACTATGGCAACCATAATCAAAAATATTTGAAATCGATAAAAGCCGAATTTTGTGCGATCTAGACCTGCTACTGAAAATCCGACATCACGAACTTTAAGCGTGGTGTTTAGCAAATAACCTCCTTGAGAAATATAAAATTCTGTACGTTTGAAATCAAATTAAACGTAAAAATATTTCAAACCTCATATTTTCAATAGCTGTGATAAATTGTTAAATAAAAATGTTCTAAATAACTCAAATTAATCCTAAGTAGCGTCGGAATGCTGCTTAATATCATATTTCGCTGCTTGGAAATTCAGGTCTGTGATTTTCGTTATTTCGTTATTTTCGTTAGGTTTCGTTATTCGTTGTTCATATACATAATCATATAAACAAGTAAGAACTAAGCTAAGGGTTTAATGGGCGTCATAAGATGCATGGACGAAACGTCGTTGCATTCACTCAACTTGAATCCTTATTGATAGGAATTAGTTTATTGCACGCATCATAACAATATAACTTTTCAGCATGTCAGGAATGTTTGCTTTGATACCCGTTTCACATGAAATCAACAGGAGAACTGTTGTCCTCAAATTTCTCCCTCTTCAAGAGTGTACATATAGGATTATGCCTGAGATCCAAGGCCATCTTAAAAATAATGACCTAGCACGCAGCGGGAAGTTCTTATTTTTGGGAAGACCGAGGAGCGAGGACATCAGTCTCCAATTTAATGCACCTTTCCATAGCCTAGATAACAGGTGCTTTATGAGCCTTTACGTCTTACCCGACGTAATGGTAAGATACCTTTTCTAGACTGCTAGGTCACTCGCGACAACAACAAACTAAAAACGACTTCTTACAGAAAACCGACACATACCGACCGATTACTAGACCAGTCTTCGTACAACCCGACCTCTCACAAGGCTACTACTATCCAGACTCTGACGAGACGAGCGCAACTACTTTGCGACTCACCTGATAGCCTACAAGACGAGACTAATTATCTTAACAACGTTTTTATTAAGAACAATTACCACACGGACTTTGTTAGACGGAACACTCACAGTAACACTGATTCCAACACTCAGACCAACTCTGGCCCTGTTTTACGACAGCGACTATACCTTACATCAGAGGCACCTCTGAAACTATTGCACATATATTACAACCTTACAATATACATGTTGCACACACACCGATAACCACTTTACGGCGACTGCGTACTAGTGTCAAGGACAAAGACAAACCGGAGGACAGACACGGAGCAGTATACAAGATCAAATGCTGTGACTGCCAGGCTTCTTACATTGGTGAAACCGGCAGAAACCTAAGCACGCGACTGACCGAACACAAACGCGCGACGAGGAATGGTGACGTCAACAAACACATTGCTGAGCACCATGTAAAGACGAAACATCAAATTGACTGGGACTCTGCGACATGTATAACGTATTCTACAGACTACTATCAACGTCTTACTTTAGAAAGCTGGTTTACTAACTTAGAACAAACGCCACTGAATCGTAGCCAACAGTTAAAAGCGCCGTACAAACGACTTATTGACGAGATCAAGCAAAACTAACTACGAGAGAAAGAATGGAGAACTGATAATTTGACTAACAATAGACGACTGTTTAACTGTGACAATAGTCAATAGATCGAAACGCACCAATTACTGATTACGAGTCTTCATAGCCAATAACATCACGGCTTAACTGACAGACGACCAATAACATCGCGATGTAATTGACCAATCAGATCAATAACCAGATTATAATACCATCAACTGACGTGATACAACTCACTTTGACTCTGAAGATGACAACCGCACAGGTTGTCGAAACGTCAGTCACTGTCAACAACAACAGTCCCATTCAGGACTACGTTCACCTGGACGATCAAACTCAACCTGCCTTTGAAATAACCTGTATGTTCAAGACAATGTTAAGATGCAGTACAAATAGACAGTTTATGCAAAAAGAAAAGTTTCCTGTACAAACGCTACCTGGTCTGCTAGAATAGCAAGACTTCTAAACGAATTTATTATTCTATACTACTTTTAAAAACCGAATAATCAACAAATTATACAAGCCCCTTACTCTAGGTACATTATATTGCAGATAGAAACTGTGAGCAGGACTGGACATATTATAATAGGAGCTGTTATTTCCGTGATGAGAACCTTAAAACATTTAGTGCAGCCCAAGCCAACTGTGAATTGAAACAAGCCAATCTTGTAGCTGTCAATGATGTAAATGAGCAGAAGTTTCTTATCACTTTCATGGGAGACCATGGGGGTTGGAATGGTCTCAACAGTCAAAACGGCACAAACGTGTTTGAGTGGATCAGTGGAGAAAAGGTTAACTTTACTTAATGGAGAACAGGTCAACCGGACAGCAATTACCACTGTGTTCATATGTATCACAATGACCAACACAAATGGCAAACGAAGAAATGTTCATTTGCACATCGGTCCATTTGCGAAAAAGGTTTGTTTCGCTTTTTTGTTGCTTTTATCTTGCTAGTAGAAAATAAAATCCAGTCGAATAACGTGCATCGTTGACGAAATGCGAAAAATTAGCTGTATAATAAAGAAGTTTGATTTTATTTTTTAAGCAAATCCCACCCACATTTTATAACGAACTTTTGGGAGATTTGCAAAGGGGATGAGGTTCAATGGACATAAAATAGCGTGATACAAAGGAGGCCTGTACTGTTCACAAATGATTAAAAGGGCAAGAAAAGATAGCTCAAGATGATAAGGCACAAGGCTTCATTAGTTTCAGGCTAGACCTCTGTTAATTAGTAAGGGATCCACCTCTGCCACAAGAATACTCAGGACCCCTTTCATTTTCTATAGCCTGCGAGCAGACTCTTATTCCTTCTTTTGAGTGACCTATTTGCATAATAGGGCCATTTATACGAGGAAAAATAAGACGCGTCTTAAATAAGACGCTAACGTTCCGTATAAACGGCACATTTCGTCTAAAATAAGACGCGGCTTAGCTAAGACGCGTCTTATTAGATAAGACATGCTCGTATAAATGGTACAGTTCGCGTCTTATGCAAGACGCGTCTTATTTTTCCTCGTATAAATGGCCCTATCGTCTCTTTTAAGCTCGCAGCGCGTGGCAATGAGGAAAAAAGGACGACCGTTTTCATAATTACCTGCATAATTTAGCTAGTGCTAAAAGCAAAACTCCTGTTTATGCATTTTAAATTTACTTCAGACGATGGACTACAGAAAGCAAAAACTTGAGCTTGCGATCAATTAAAAGCTAACAACTTCAAAAAACACGTGACCTCGATGAACTTGTGAATGAATTGAATTGATATCTAGACGATCTGTAGGTCTTAGATGGATAATTTCTCTTTGACGGATAATCCACCTCCAGCCAATGCTAGATTGTTCTCACGGAATTTTTTCAAGTCTCAACTCGGATTGGTGTCCATCAGGCTCATCGATTAGTGACAGTCACCGAACCAACCCTCTCGTATGCTCATTTAATTTTTAATTTTTTTAATGATACTAAAGATTGGACACCATGTGACACCAAACCTTGCCAAAACGGAGGAGTCTGCGTTGCAAACGGTGATGACTATAGTTGTCGATGTATGAATGGTTCTTCTGGTAAAAACTGTGAAATTCATACTACAACAGGAATTTCAACTACAAGTATGTTCATCTTTCTTATGTGCCCATATGACTCCCATAAATACCTAGTAGTAGACATTCATCTTCCTCTGAATAGTAAAATGAGTCACCATGAACGGGCGGCATCGCGGCTTCTGCTGTATTCAAGACGTCAATGGTCAAAAAATGTCGAATAATAAGTACGTTTGATCTTTTTAATCTCTTTTTTGCAAAACCCTCGTATAGATTAGCTGGTGAGCCTATATTTCCGTTCCCTTCATGACGCCCGCCATAATAACGCCCATGTCCATCCCCGTGCAGAAGATAAAATGTTACTAGCTTACATCGCAACTTCAAGCCTTATTTGAAATAAGTACTTACGAACGTGTTAGGGCATATGAATTCTTAAGGGGATTCGTCATTTTTCCATCCTATCGATACTTCAACCCATGCCATCCACTGCAAAAATCGCGATGCGATCGCAAACGCTGTTTAAAAAGTATGCGCTTAGGTTAACCCTAAAAACCGGAATAGAAATCAGACATGGGAAAAAGATGATATAAGGATACCACAACAAGATATAAGAAAAGCAAATTTTCGTTAAACTGTCTCACTCCATACACTTTTTTCAGGTATTTACCATATACGTACAAAAGTCAGCAGTAGCCTCGTAACATCACGACTAACGGAAGGTAAGCCAGTCTGTTTTCTTTGCAAAAGCTCAAATAAAGCTCGCTAGTAGCGGAAATTTTGATAGGTGTGACGCGCAAACGATTTTTGAAAATCTGAAAAAAGTTTTAAAAGACCAATAGAACTTGATGTGTCGTTTATTCACAGCAACGTTTAAGGCTTTTTAAGTTATGTTTACTTTGACAAAAAGACATGAAAAAACTCCAGTTGAGACATATATACCCTTTTTCTGTTTCGGCTTCTAGATTAAAAGGAAGGAATCATTTAGGACAAATTTTTTTCTGCTACAACAGCAGCGCGTTCATCAATATGTTCAGTGCTAATTCCCAAAGTTCGGGTGTGCGATCTTGTATTTTTTAGCTGGTACTTTTTTTCCCCTGGATGACCAGGAAATAAATCCATGTAGAGGTCTGGGTGGGAATTGCGAGCCGAACACTCGTCCACGTACATGCTGTCAAAAGTCAATGAGCAATTTATGGATAGAGAACCATTATAGTTAGAGGATATGAGTTGTAAACGAAAAGGGAACATACAAAGCCTCAAAGTAACATGGGCCACAAGGCTTTAAAAAGTATGCGCCGATTTAAAACAGGAAAAGAATTTTATATCAGACACGTAAAATGCATACTATGTTCTCAGGAACTTACCATACAAACACTACAGTCAGCAGCAGTTTCCAAACATCACGACCAACGGAAGGTAAGCCAGTCTGCATTGTTTGATAGCGTAAAGACAAAGAAGGAAACAACGTAAGGGGTGTTAATATTTACATCACAAGTAAATGGACAATTTATATACACTGATAGCTAAAATGCCTTTTTAGCGAAAGGAAAGCAGATGATGACGAAAAGAGAACATATCATTAGGTATTCAGAAACCACAAGGCTTTTAAAGATCATGCGTCGATTGAAAAACTGAATAGGACAGGGGGAAAATATGACATGGAGATAAATACGAAGAGACACAAGGATAGGAAATTCCTATAAAGCGTTATTACCATCAATTCAAACGGCACACCCTTCTTTCAAGTGGTTAGGCTAAACGTACAAAAGTAACCAGTTGCTAAACTTGAGCTGTAACAGTGGGTTGTGCCTTAAGTAAAAGTCCACTCCCAATTCTTGACGGGGAAGCAGTGAAATATATTCAGGTAACCGGAAGTTGTATTAAGCTTTTGCATCATCTTTCGTGAACCCAAGATGTTTAGCAAATAAAGTTGTTGTTTTGTGCCAGCCATGTAACCTGCTTCAAGCGAAATACTTAGCTCGTATGTTTCAGTATCCAACAACCAAAAAGATATTAAAAATACTACGGGCTGATTACGAATAAGACATACACATTATTCAGATAGTTACAGCACACGTACAACAGTCCTCACTAGCTTCGTAATCTCACGAGTAACGGAATGTAAGCCAGTCTGTTTTCTTTACAAAACGTTATCAAGTTCGGTGCGCCGATTAAAACAGAAAAATAAGAAATTGGATAAAGATGATATGGAGATAAATGCGTCAAGATAAGTACAGGAAATTATCATAAAGCTATCTCACGTTAACTGCATTCACTTTTTTCAGGCAGTTTCGATACACGTACAACAGTCAGCAGTAGCTTAGTAACCTCACGACTAACGGAAGGTAGGTCCCCACATCTGCAGTGCATGAAGGAGTAAGACTGCGTCAAATAGTGCCAACCTTGAAAAATGTGTCTTCGCAAAGTCTTCCACATACTTTGAATCTAAAGATTTACCCATCCCTGAAAACAATGGACCCGCAAACCCCTGGCGCTCTTAGCGAAGAAAGACTCTTCTTTTTCGAGCTTGAAATTGGGTAGAAACCGGATCTTTTGTAGCCACTTAAATTGAAGGGAGAGAGCAGTCAACTGGCCAGGAGTACTACATAACCAATTCTGGGTATTTCCAGTCTCTCGGAAACTGATATCTTGATGTAGAATGTCATATCAGTCACTTCAGTACTTGGAGCCAAAAACTCGGTGTAGAAATTTTCAGTGATTGTCTACACTTCAGCACCAGCTCAGTGTCAAACAGACATTCAACATCCACATCTCCCAACCTGACTGTCACTATCGGGCAGTTCCCCCAATTACCTTAAATTCATCTCCCTTTCACAGAATCTCTCGTCTAACCTTTCTAGCTAGGTGTTCTAATAGAAACAGGGAAGTTTGCTATTTTTTCAATCCCTTACTCTTATTGGCCAATATAGCTCTCCTGATGCTTGTAGTACGTACTCTCACAAGTATACCACAAGCAATTAGAAAAAAATCAAACATGGAAAGGTGGTAATGTGGAGATAGATACGATGAGATAAGTACAGAAAATTTTCCATGATAAAGCTATCTAATGAATCCTTTACACACTTTTTTCAGGTAGTTACGATACACGTACAACAGCCTGCAGTAGCATCCTAACTTCAAGTCTGACGGATGGTAAGCCAGTCTGCTTTCTTTGCCGAGGAAATCACGTTCGCTTGTAGTGACAAACGATTCTACAAGTCTAGAAAGAATTTTGGGCTTGAAAAGCTAAGTAATGTGTTGTTTATAAACCAACAAAGGTGTGGGTCTTCTTTAAAACTTTATTTGATATGAAAAAATCCCAATGGACGAGACATGTCTGATTGGTTCGCAGATAACTTCTGCTGTTTTCTGTCTTATACCACTTTTCAATTAGGCCTCAAGATAAATAACAGTAATCTATTTTCAGCTCTGGCCTGTTATATATACCATCTCTCTATATTCTGGCTTCTTTTGAGTTTTCCTGTTCAGGTGGCACCGCACCCGGCTATTGAACGCCGCCAGCAACAATCTAAGTCAGAGAATCGTCAATTTGGGACTCGTAATGACGTCATAAAAGAAAGAATTGTCGTGTTAAACCCGCTGAGCATACATTGATAAGTAGTAAGCAGGTTTTATGAAGAAAACAATTTTAAACCGTGTTTAATTAAATAGCCTTTAAACATGTTTAAGCTTTGATTTGAATGGGGCTTAAATAAGCGAAACATCATCTGCCGAAATATTTCTCATTTCAGCTTCTTCTAACATAAATACTGTGATGGAAACCCCTTCTATCCTGAAAGTGACACACCCTAGCACATTGGTCTCCATGGTAATAACTTCACCTTCAAACACAGAGTCGACTGTAGTTGCGACACCATCTTACAAGGAGCCACAAATGACGCCCGGTCTACGTCTGTCACGAATGGAGAGAAAAAAGGCAGAAATGAAAAAAGCAAAACAGGGGGTAACAATTTCTATACAAACGTCAGCTACGTACAATAGCTGCCCACTTCGTCATGAAGACGTTTTTTGTGTACAGACACGTTACCGAAACCATCATCGACTCAGGATGGCGACAGACGATTGTGTTTTCAGTTGTTTTTGCTGTTTTTGTTTTTATTTAATCAGTGCTGCTTTCTTCTTATTTTTGTTTTCCCGTTATTATATTCATTTGTTGAACATTTTAATTAATTTTTTGCCTTTAACTTTGTGGGAAATGTTGATCATGCAGATAAAGATTAATGTTGTTTGGCAGTTTAAGCCGTTGGCCTTGTTTAGTTCATCAGTTTCATTAGTCAAATCTAAGCGAGCGTAAGAGAGCCCACACTACTGTTTGAAATGAGTAGGGGAAGTTCCCCGGTGTTGTGGTCTACCTTTCTTGTATCATTCATATCATGGAGAAATGTAGGGATACAGTGAGCTCATATATGGACTGATAGCGGCTGCGAGTTGCGCCCTTGTGTCCTTCCGTCCGAGCTGCTTAGGGTGGGTCTTGTTGTCCTTTATTCCATACTTCCCATTCATTCCACATTCTGTTACACGGCACCACAAAAAAAGGTATTTAATATTTGTGATATACATACCATTATGTGTACATAAGTCATCTCTTTCTTTTTTTTTTCTTCACGGGCGTTAAACTAATCAATTTTCTTATTCCTTTGCTGGTCATTTTGCTCCTATTTATCCTGATTATTGGTTTAGTCCTCTGTTGCAAGAGGTGAGTTTTTTTAGTCATTTCACCTTGTGCCATCCATGATATTACTTGAAGAGGTAGCCGCGGTAACAGCCAGCAAGTCAGTGAAGAGAACTTAGCCACGGTTACAGCCGGCAAGTCAGTTGGAATCAGTAATAATAGTGTACAGTCTCAGTACCGTGGGTCCCGTTTTTCGGACGTCCCAGTATTAAAACTGGCTAACGGAGCCGGAAAGCTGTTTTGTGTCTTTCACCTTTGCACTCCAGTTGGAGGTTGGCAGAGTTTTGAAAGTAGTACGATGAAGCCAGACAGCACCACTAATCTTTAGATTTTGATACCAAAATAGCTATAGTTTAGAGCCCGAAGAGTTACGGGGACTTTCAGTGCTGCACAAATACCAATGAAATGAAAAAAATCGAGTAGTCCATAGCGTTTAATTAGCGTGACCTATACCCCTGAAGTACAGTCGAACCTCTCTACAACGGTCACCTTGGAGACTGAAGAAAGTGGCCCCTGTAGAGAGGTAAAATTTAAACAAGAGTCAATGTATGGATTTTCTGTCCGCCGGGACGAAAAAAAGAGGCCGTTAGAAGAGGTTCTACTGTATCAGTGAGCAAAAGAGCAAGAAAAGGAGAAACTGTTAGGTGGCATTTAAAAGTAATAAATATTCCTTTGCTTTCAGTCATTTAGCTACCTGGTAAGTCATGTCAAAATAGGGCGCTGATATGGAGATATCTGCCCAGCATGTGTCGTGACTGTTTAGCTGTTATGTAGCTGCCTGGAGAGGCTTTAAGCCCCGTGCAAACGGACGCAACATTGTTGGCCAACAACTCCCAGCATTGCTGGATGTTGACATGTTGCGTCCGTTTGCACACCCTGTTGCATGTTGTTGGATGTTGTTGGGAGTTGTTGCGCCAAGTTCGTAACCGATCAAACTTTTCAGCCAACAACTCCCAACATTTCTTTTGTTCCGTGATCGCCGAAGAGTAGCGCAACAATGTTGAATCCGTTTGCACAGCTCCTCCAACATTGTTGGGGTCACGCACGCTCATTACGCATGGATTACAAAGACTTATGGGTTGTATTCTTCCCACGATGCACTGCAGGTCCCAACATTGTTGGGAGTTGTTGCATCCGTTTGCACACCACTGCCAACACGCACGCAACAACTCCCAACATTGTTGGCGCAACCGTGAAGTTGGGAGTTGTTGCGCCCGTTTGCACGCAGCCTAACTACTCAAAGGAAGTTTCTCAGTTTATCATTTTCAAACTCAAAGGAGTATGAATCCAAAATGAAATCTAAAATAAAGTGAAACATAAATTGACATTTACTAAACAATCACGGTTTATATGAGGTGCTCGGTTTTCGACCAGTAAGCAGTAGCAAAGAGATTAAACTAGCGCTCACGTCCTCGCCTCATGGGCAAAGTAGTGGACTGTTGATTCATAGTTTTATTATGAATTAAAGCCCCGTATTGTTTTTGTTATATGTGTTTTAGCTTTACTATACATCTTTCATAAAAAGCATCGTTTGGGGGATTAACTAACCAATAGAAACATCCGATAAATTAGTTAAAACGCAAATTGTGATTGTATGCACGATCAAGAAGTTTCCAATATACAGCGCAACACAGTCGATTTCATCTTAATTTTTTTAGCTACTTCACCCGCGTCTTCTACTTCTGCATGTGAATGATATGTTGAATACAAAGTACAGAGTTTTCGTCCGTTTAAACAACTACGTTACAGTCTGCCATATTGGATAAAAAGCTGTTTTTAAAGAAGCGAAGTAATATTCCAGAAACTCGGCAACATTCAATTCCACATCTGAATACAATGCCATATTTAACTGTTGTAGTCAGATAAAATAGGAACTGTGAACTTAGACGTTTGAACCCCCAGCTTATGCCTTTCTTGTTCCTCATAGGAGGAATAAAAGGAAACTGGAAATAGCAAACGACGGCGATGAAAAAGTAAGTAAATATTCCACTCCGAGTGATTTCAGTCGCGCGCCTACATGTGAAAAGACTTCATTCCCTGGTCATGATGTATTTCCTTCGCGTCTTCATTTTCCTAGTTGTTTAGCTGTTGTGTAATCGATGACTTCAGGGGCACCCAACGACTGTCTTCTGTAAAATATCTGTTAGGAGAAACAAAAATTGCCTAGAATTTTCTATAGCTTGAGGAAGGCTACAAATTTCTAGATGACCGTTTCATTCATGTAAAATTTTCGTAACATATCTAATGAATTCCCTACGAATTTCTAGAGTTTAATTTTTCACATTTCAGTACCCAAGTTTGCCTATTTTTCGTTGGGAAAGGAAACCTAAAATTTTCGGATTCAAACAGGCGATGGAGCGAGGTATCAGAAAAATTCTTGCTTTCGTAAAACTTTAAATTGTAACCTAAATTTTCGGGAAAATAATACGGAGGCCCTTGTAATTTCGAAAAGACTCAAGTTGCCCTAGTACGACCGAACAGGTACAAATTTTATAGCGTTTCTTAGAATGCATTTCTAGAGATCTGCAAGTACTCTCGATAGCCTAAAAAGTGTTTACAATGCATTTAGGAGGAAACAGTCGTCGGGTGCCCCTGTGACATTGAGAGAGGCTTTACTTTCCAAAGGCATTTTTTTTATTAATTGCAAAGTTAACGGAGCATGAATTTACAATGAGGTCTAGAATGAATTTAAAAATACATTTACATTTGCAAAGTCAGGGGACAGCAATAGAGTGTTTTGACTTGGTTCACGTAACTTGTAATATCCATGCTGTAGTTGGATACGATGTTAATGCACATTTCTCTGGATGTAACCAGAAAATAAGGTGTTGTGCTTCAAGAACACAATAGAAACAGCCTGCTTTATCTCATATTGCAGAAAAACATATTTCGTTAAACAAAAAAGATTGTCAATGTTTAGCTCGATGTATGGATGAGAAAAAAAGTTATATCTTTAATCTCAGAAGCGTGAAATAAAATTCAAACTCGTGATAACCCAGAATACTATTTGAGCGCGCTGCGGAGGCACTTATGGTAAAAATATACGCGCGTAAAACTAGCAACTAGTAGAGTAGACGGCCTAATGGTATTCTGGGATGCCGTATATTCGAATTTAGTCGCAAACTCATAGTTTTCGTTACTCATGCACTTTACAAATATATACTTTACTTGACCAAGTATGACTGGTCAGTTGTAGCGAATAGCTTGATAAACAAAGGAATAGCGAAAACTAGACAAATTATATGTAATTCTTCAGGGGACAATAACCGAGGTTCCGGCGATGTATTAAAATTTTAACAAGACTCCGAGGCTTTCTGGTCATTTTTCCTAAATTTGGTTTTTCTTTGTGCTCACGTCTCTACCGGGAATTGCGAGATAATGGAGTCTTGAACAATTTACATTTTTGACCCTAAGGGCTCGGAGTCATGTTTAGAATTAATTTTAGTATATCGAACTATTAAGCGGGCTCTGATCCCAGGCTGGCAAAATACACCCTTCTTGCTCTCTTGGGTATCCAATCAGAATACAGGATTCTCTATTCATCTCAAGGAACTAGCCATACATTATAAAAGATCTATCTCGCAGTTTGGGTCTATGTTATATTTTGATCCACTTCATATTGAATAAGAGTAATCAATCTCTGAGTGAGAGCAAGACTTAAAAGTAAAGTACTTTACGCATCTAATTTATGTTGAAATGATGTATTACTAGGACGGAAATAATCTGGCTGTAATGGGCGACCAAAAAGCTATTGATGTAAGTATTGCAGCTAGTTAAGTCAGTAAACAATTCTTGCAAGGACCACTTGGTCAAACAGCAACAAGGGAAAGCCGGATCTTGCTGTAGATCAGGATCAGAAATACAAAATAACATTAACATTAGTAATTAAACAAATTTATTTGCTCAATATTTCGACTAGACAAAACTAGTCTTCAAGCTAAGTGAGAATAGAATAAACGGTTACATCATTTAGAGTAATACAAATATAAAAATAAAACGTGACTTGTGGAGAAATACAGTACAATAGACTAAAACTTGCAAGACTCTCGTATTCCGCGGAAAATTTAACCTTTACCTGAGTAACAACCACGCCGCATAGACTGTAGTTCAGCTAGCTATGTTCACACGGCAGAGGACAAATTTTTGACGGGTTGAAAATTCGTGTTGTGTTCCGTTCACATGGAACTACCTTAACTGTACGAACATCTAAGCGCCTAGCCGTTCAAAGTTCCGTGTGAACAAAGTGTCGTGTAAAATTTTTCTGCGGCTCCAAAATTCTTCCGCAGGTGCCGTGTGAAGGTAGCCTCAATAAACAGCTAGACGTCAACATCACACTAGCTTAGAATCTAAACCATTTTAAATATCTTTACTTTTCTCTTGTATTTGCAGCTATGCATGTGTAATGAAATTTCCAAGCATCCAAGGCAAAGACACGGGACATGATTGATAAGCATTTTACATAGCTTTTTTGTTTAATCGTTAATGTTTAGTCTGATAAGCTTGCAAACGCTGGGTGCATGTTTGTTAGGGTAGCCGCAACAGCTGATATATACAGTCAAACCTCTTTAATACGGACACCAAAGGGACAGAACCAATTGTCCGCTTTACAGAGGTGTCCGAATTATAGAGGTAGGGAATGTATGATTTTTGGCATTTCTGGGATCAAACGAACTGATCGTAATAGAGAGATGTCCGTATTATAGAGGTGTCTTTATGGAGAGGTCAGACTGTATATTTACCAGACTGGTGTTTGGAGAATCCGAGACAGGTTTGCATAATTTTGGAGAGTTTTCCCAATCTCCGTCAAGTGTTAATTGGTTTTGTGGCTATTTTATGGCTATTTTATGGATATGTAACTATTTTTTACTGCCACTGATTAAAGGAGAAATTCTTACTAATGGTAAAGTTTTGTAAAAGTCATACGCGCAATCAGTTCTTGTTTCATCAGCAAAAAAGATGCCATCAAAATACTACTAGTAATAACTTTGTTACAGTATGTAAAGGTTCTTTGAGTTTCAAACCTCGGAGAAATGGGAAAAATAATGAAAGCTTATAGAGGTTTTAGTGTAGCTGCAAAACTATGGTGATGCCACAACTGTGTTTGCTTACTCTATCTCAGTTTAAATTTCATAAATAGTTTTTTTTTTCGAAGCTCAGGTCAATCTCCCTCTTTTTACTTTTCTTAGTACACATTTGTATCTCATTGCTCAGGAATTTTTCAGTAACACCGAGTCATGACTTCGATATTATGAAACAACTATGTTAATGTTCAAGTGAACAGCATGAAAATTAGAGGTTTAAATTTGTTTGGCTTGAAAAGCAATTATAATGTTTTCACATCTAGGACATTTATAAATTCATCAATAGCTTGAGATGATTTCTCATAACTCACAGACGGTTGAAATAAAGGAAACAGCAGTTTGAACTGACGAACTCGGTTTAAATACGTTTTATGAACCCAAACGTACGCGTTATATTAAGAAGAAGGTGCAGAATTAACAAGGTTGACCTTTCTATGACTGAACAAAAAATAATAATTTTCACACCAAGGAAAAATGAATAGGTGGCAGTCTAAAGAAGAAATTCCTCATTTTTAGTCAAAGCTCAAGACCTACTTTTTTAAATATCGCTTTCAAGAATTAACTTTCATCAAAATTTTATTTCCTTTTTTTTATTTTTTACAATCGTGTGAGCATTGTGTAAAGCGCTTAGAGCTGCTATATATGCGCTATACAAATGTTTATTATTATTACTATTATTAGCATTAGTATTTTTTCACTGTTCTTTTTCTTCTAATGGATTCATGACAATATATTTCAGCTCGCTTTGATCTTCGTGACAAATTACAGTACCAAAGTAACGTTATTTCCCTATGATGTAATTTTGGTTCTTAAATTAGCTTTTGCAACATTGTATGTACCTGTATGGTCATGCAAATAAAGCTCGTTGTTGTTCTTGAACTTTTGAGTGTCTGGCGCTTCTCACTCGCTTAAAAGACCCAAAAACAAAATAACAAAAGTCGACCCTTGACTTGGTACCCTCTTCCCTCGACGTGACAGGCCAAGTGGGCGGTACACTTTATTTTTTGTTTTATGTGTTTTGTGTGCAAATATAGTTCAGAAAAGACAATCAGTTCAGTGACCACACAACAGTTCAATAACCACGCCAGTAGTTCACTGACCTCAACAGTAGTTCACCGAGAGTAGACTACATGTAGCTGCGGGGGAAATAGCCACAAATACGTCAGGAGTCAGCTCCTGAGTAAGTTAGATATTTTAAACATAAATGTGAAGCATTAACTAAGTGGTAAATGCCCATTCAGCGATAACACAAAAACCAAATTGAGAAAAAGCTGTAGCACAATAGCCTGCGTGGCAGAGGCAAAAAGAGGAGGGGGAGGGAGAAAAGCGCGGCGTTTTTGTATTCCGCCCACCATTTTCTCAACTTATCCGATAATGTCAGCTGTCAATACATGATCAATCAAAAGTAGGTGTCATCTCAGCATGGTCCGAAGTTAGGGACGGACCATTAGAAAAGTTATGGGGGGGAGGGGAATTTTCGAGCCGCAGGAATTTTTTTCGTTATCAAATTCCTTGTATGAATTTTTTTCAGGCCATAGCATGAATATTTTTTAGGATTAATTGGCGTGTATGAATTTTTTTTTCATTTAATTTTCCCTTGCGCGAATATTTTTTTTGTACTTCGCCCCCCCCCCCCCCGCCCATAAAATGGTCCGTCCCTTAATGACTTTGCTTTAATACCGGAAATTGTCAAGTCGAGACGCTTTTTTCAAATGATATCGTAATCGAGCGACATAAAACAACTTTACTGTTCTTTCTCCTGCAACAAACACGACAAACATAGACTACAATGAAAACAATGATCAGTTTCGTGTGAATACACAAAATCTTTGTTCTTACCTCATCAAACACAATGGTTACAACGGAACAGACCAGTCGCCAGCCTGACACCCGAATAATGAAAGGAGAAACAATTGTCAAAAAGTTCAACTGATAGCTTTTACCAAAGCTTTAGCTCTCTCTTTATAAATCATTTAGAACAAGTTCATTCACGATTGTATATGTTTTTGCGGAAAAGGCCGGTCTTGTGAATGTCGGCATTGCAGATGTCTGGCAAGAATCGTAATCGCCTTGAATCGCCGCCTGGTGTTTGGACAAATCCAGTATACAAAACCTCCTGAGTATCTCTGCCTGCTAAACAAGCTATTACAGTTGGTTCTAGTTCGGGTTTTAACGTGAAGTTGCTACATGATTGGAGTAATTTTGATCTTCCAAAGCGTATGGCAGAAAAACACATTTGCTTGATGCTTGCATCATGTTTGTGTTACTCATTACGGCTCAGCCAATCAGGAATTTGTGGGACGCTCGGCGTCCGCAGAAATGAACAAAAAGGGTTCTTATAGCAGCCGTCCCTTACCCGCTCTCCCCAATCCCTCAATCCCTCTCCCTTCCCTTCCTATCCCCTCTCGACGCTTGCTACGCAGGCTATGGCACAATGTTATTTATTTCTAGTGAGCTCACTAAAGTAAACACGGAAATAGACTAATGTAATTTAAAAGTTTTAGCCTGCTCAGAAGGTCTGTTATTCTCACCAGGGGCACAGTGAACAGACCTGGAGAAGGAGAGTCAGCGCTGAAAAGGAAAGTTAACACGGTCCGGAGAAAGCCTCTTACACTAAATAACCCGACAAAGCGCTCGATGGGAAAGCAGAAAACATAACGGTTAACGGTGGATGAAACCTTGTTTTTTGACTTCGTTTCCACACATTTCAAACTGTGGTACCACAGCTGGCCCTAAGTGCCTGAGTCGACCAACATCAATCCATGTTTAATAAATAGATATTCTTTACTGCATAAGTCTGAACTTCCAACTTTCATGGCTGTTTAAAACTTGAAAATCAGCTGTTCTGTTTCCTTACCATATTTCAAAGGTCTTACGATGCGATAACGTCCTTGTGCGTAAGAGATTAAGGCAGTTTCAGGCGATGCTGTTAATTCCATTTTACGCGCGGTCTCTGACTCTCGTTCCTTATTCTTCCGTTGATTCTTTGCCCCGAAACCGCACGGAAACGCTTGTTTGCAGGCTACCTCGATCCTCGACCTGGAACCTTCGCCCTCGACATTAAACCCTCGACCCTCGACCCTCGCAGCAAAAAAATAGACTCCGCACCTCTATTCAATATCTGACAACTTGCTGTCAAAAAGTGTAAAAACAAGTGTTTCATTCACTTTGCGTATACACCGGTGTTTTAGAACTTTTTTTCCTCGTTCGGAATCGTTGTTACCTATTTTGAAAAATGGGGATCAGAATCTTTAAACCGGGCCTTTAAAATACTGTTTTGAAACGGTAATTGCCTACTCACTTACTTTTTGCCAACGGGAAAGTCGCTAGCTCAAGCTAGTGACCGACAGTTTGATAAGTCAATAATTAGTTGTCTCGCATTAGAACAGTTTATAGTATAAGGTTCTTGTCTCATTGAAATATCTAGTGAAGTGCCGGTGCCGGCTCGAGCTGCATTTTTAACCACTACACTTTATTTTTGAACTTTTAAGTGAAATATTTATTAAGTTTAGTGTATCATATTCACTAAAACTACATGTATTCCCATTCAGCTCAGACCCAGTGGAGCTTCAAACTATTGTCTCTTGCCTGATGAATAACGTCTGCGAAGAAGAGCCGATATCCATGTTCTGGGCCCCCGATGGACTCAACGAATTAAAAGAACAGCGTTTCGAATTTCCTTTCATCTTGATTGGCAAATCGACAATGGAATTGTTAATAGGCCAATCGTGGCGCGTTGTCAAACCCTGGTACACTGGTGGGGGCCCAGAACATTAGGATTTTATCGCCGTTTCGCACCAAGCTAAGTTTGTTTTCGTCTGCTAGGATCATTGAGTGGAAAATTAATTATAGGAGTTAAGGTAAGGAAGTGTAGTTAATTTCAAAATGGCTTATTGCTTTCATAGTCATTTTCATTGTTGCCTGTTGTTGATCTGTACAATACCCTGCGAGTCTGTCGCGTAGTTGGTAACAAACCAACCATGCGACATACAAGCCACGCGTACGACTTCGTTAACACTAAAAGCCTTGCGAGAGAGAATCCTCTGCTCGCAGGGTCATCTGTACACATAGGTCTCCTAAGTATGTAGGGACCTCAGTCTTAGGAATCGCTGTTTGAAAACTGGGCTGTACAATCGAAGTGCGTCCTGCCAACCAGTGGTAAGAGCCTAAAAAGGGAGACTTTTGCCTTCAGTAGTGACAGCTGGTAGTGACGAGTACCGGATACCATATTTTTTGACCCGTATATATTCTAGTGCACTCGATACCGCTGGGTAAAGCGTGCCAGGTCAATTACTAGATAGTACATAACGTTGTAGTTACTGACAGTTACTATTATTTTGTCTGTTTTTCTTTTACATTGATCTAAATTGCGCCAAGAATAAGTGATTTAGAGCGTATAAGACGAGGCAGGGACAAACTATATGTCGTTTTCGTCTCTCGGCTGTCAACAGGCGCTATATTTTTAGTTTCTCTGCTTATCTGATTTTCTGCAGGGTTTTGTGTATATTCTTAAAAAAGTTGTTTTTCCGGGACACTTTTGCCAAGTTAGAGCCGGCAAAGTTCGGAAATACAGTGAAATCAACTCGTCTAGTGTTTTAAAAAATGCAAATGTCAAAAAAAAGGATTCTTTCGCCTTTATGACCAGAAATTAACGCCAATTGTTCTGACAAATGCCGCAGCCAATCGCCTTGCGCGTAGTGACAGACGGCTGCCAAATATAATATCAATAAATTTAAAACAGTTGTCGAAATTTAATAGAAAATCTCGGTCTGTAAGCAAGCACCAAGAAAGAATGTTCAGCTAGTGAGTTAGACGGCGAGTAGTCTCTCTTTTCCTGCGCGTACTAAGAAAAAAGAAAGAGATTGGTCGTAATCTTATGGTAATCTTATGGTAACACAACCAAAGACTTTGACCGACTCGTTTATACCACCCACACAATAATTGTTATTTAAAGCCACGCGCATTTAAATCACATGAACTGAGAAACGTTTCAAATTTAAATTTCGTTTTCGTACCCATTCTTAAATTCAAAAAGTTGTCAAGAAAACAAATTATAGTTGTGTCTACATGGTTGTAAAATGCATTTGGAATGAGTGCATATTTTTTCTTCCCCAGAGCTTTGTTTAAAAAATAGGCGAGTTTACTTTGCTTGTCTTACCTGAGCAAACTTTTCACTGACTGCCTAATGCAAATGAAAGTTGACCAAAGTGATTTGGCCTTGGTTACGCGCGGTAGAGCATGACAGTTAATACAAGGCTGTGATGCCAACCTCCTGGCACTGTCGCCTTTATAGAGGACCATCCAGGACCACGGGGGTTCGAATTTTGAGAGATATTATTCCCGATTAATTTTATATGTGACATTGCCTCGTTCTTACCACGTAAAAAAACAGGAATAATGAGTTAGACAGGTCTGATACTTAACAAGTGAAAAATATTGAGAAAAATGATGTCTTACCAGACGAACACATCCGCGCTGTTGGTATGTGTTTTTACAAGCCTGTTCAAGAACTTACGGTAAAATGATATCAGCATTTGTTCATGAGAATCCCATATCATATGACCGACATGTTTCTAACAGGAGTCTGTTTTTTGCCAATTTTCACTTAGCCTGCGTAGCTTGGGAGTATAAATGGGCGCAGGAAGGGGGCGCGAGAGACACACGCAGGCTAATTTCTACATGATACCACTAACCATGACATACTACCTTGTAAGAACTCGGAACAATTCCAGGATAGTCGAAAAGCAAGTAAATAGGGTACACATGATGATACTGATGAAAGAAATAAATGTAGATTCGGTGGCTGTTGGGGCTAGAGAAGAATTCTTCATGACCATCATTCTTTCACGATGACTCAAGTTCGGTGACAGTTATGACCGTGACAATATGATTTTAAAAAAATTAATGAAATACAATAACAATTTAGGACCTTGCTATTGCTTAAAGGAAAACGCCCGTAAATTCGTTCCAACTGCTCCAATCGCCTCCAAATTCTGCCCAGGTAACACACGATAGTTCTCTTTTCTATTCTTTATCTTGCTGCAAGACGCCTTTGCCTCGAGAGCGAATCAAAAATCCCAAATCTCTGCAACTTTTCCTGTCTGAAGCTATCGAATGAACCTTGGCTTGAACTCCGCGTTACCGTTGAAAGATAGCGACACGGCCTGAGACTCAAATTACTCACACTCGGGGTGGGAGACAGTCCCTTGCTCCAGTTGACGTCAATACCCGAGAAAGAAAACAACGGGAGCAAGAGACTGTCTCCCACTCTGAGTGTGAGTAATTTTTTTAAGGCCGTTATACGTTTTACGTCCTTCGGTGGATCAGTCGAGCCGCTTCACTGGCGTGCCCAACCTTGGTAAACCTTTATATAGAGAGAAAACCGTTTACATAAAAACCCACAAAACGGCCATAAATCCTGGCCCGTGGATCACACAGGAGAGACGTAACACACATTATAAGTAAGGTAAGCTGTTTTTTATTGAAATCCTTTCATTTTCGTAGGTTACAGAAACGATAGGTTTTTTTCCCATACAAATCCTTGTATTTCGAATGTTATGCAACAATGCCGATGTTCGCCGATGCTCATATTTCGAGCTTGGGCTACCTGTGATCGAACACAATCAAACACCTAAACAATCGAACATAATCGAACAATCGAAAGTCGAACACTGCATGTTTCAACAATCAAACATAAAACCAGTTTCTTTGCGTTCAAATAATTTATGTATTGGCTTCAATTTCAAACACGAGTACGCAAAGTCAGAGAGGGAAAACCCTCCGTGGGGAAAACGCTGAAAATGGTGGTACAAATTAGTTCGACTCAGTAAATCGACTCTATCGCCTGATGAAGACCTGCAGAGTGCGGTCGAAACGTCGCGATCAATATCAAAGTGACGATCATGAGACAAACGATAAAAACTAAATCCCATTTGAAGTTCTCAATATTTCATCCCATTTTTCTGAACGAGGGGGGAGAAAATGCGTAATATTCACTAAGGGCGTAGTCTGCTACACAGCCGTTTAGTGGCCGTCTAGTGGGGAGGAGCGTTGCGTCACGACACTAAAAACGGCCGTGTAGCAGACTACTAAGCACCGCCGCAGCCAGTATGAGGCGAACCGAGGCACTCGCCTCGGTAAAATTTTACCAAATACTGTCGATTTTTATTTTTTTTATCAGACTGATAATATTAGCAGATTTCATACGGCTGATTTCGTACAACGGACCGTGTGTTCGCCTCGGTTGTAGTTTCTTCCTGGCTACGGCCCTGCTAAGGGCGCCGATTTGTTTTCAGCCAAAACCTATTAGTGCTTTTCGATCCGATGGCTTCCTTTTGTTGCTTCGTATACCATTATAAAGCCATCATTCTCCTACAGCCCGTTTTTTTTCCGTTGGTAATACATGCTCTCTATTTTCGTTTTAAATTTCTTGATGCTTTCTGCCACCGCGAGTGCACACCACTATCTTGTAAATACACTTTTAAAGGTACGTGTGGTATCCAAGGTGCCTGGTGCTTTTCTGGATTAACTCAAAGGTCGCTTGCAGTTGTGAAACTTCATAAGTGAATGGTTTTCAATAGCGTGTATTGTTACTTTTGACAGCCATTGTTAATGTGCTTAAAACAATAGCTCGCTGGCGGTAAGGACGGTACCTTTCTACCAGACTTTTTCAAACTCGCCAGAATAGTGGTTTTTGCCCAGAAATTTCAAACGTTTTCACATATTCTGCTTGACGAAGAATCATGTAAAAAGGTATCCGCTACAATAGGTGCTCTGATGGGCCTTTGGCTCTTTGTCCAACTGAATCAACAGCACAAAAACAAATTAATAACGCCCTTAATTATCCAGATTACTGTGGTACCGTCTGGGACGCGACGGGTTAAGCAACGAATTGAGCTGATAAATTGCAAAAATTACCGAGCCATGCACAATTATGTCCCTAAACATTTTTCGTCTAAAGTTTGACAATATAATCGTCTGTCTTTACTCAAACATCTTTAATATACTTTGGTTAAGGACAATTTAGTATTCTGCAGAACAAAGATTTGTTCACGTCTTTTGAACAAAGAAAACCAACAAGTCTCCTGGCTATTCAGCCTACTTTATCCATTGATGGTTGGACATTAGCATACGAAGCCGCCTTATGCTAAACATCTCTAACTGTCTAAGTTAAACACAATGATAACAATCGGACAAGATTTCATTTTGTGTTCACGCATGTACGATTACTTCAACATAAATTCACAGGTCGTACGTTTTTCACAGGCTCCTGCTTCAACAGTTCACGGAGATCACAAGGCAACGAGCAAATTTCCAAGCCATAACTGGTAATGTTGACATAGGTTTATTATCTGGCGTTATTGTAGCTTAGTTTACTGGCAAAGTTTCTTGGAAAGCCAAAAAGTGGTGATAACATCATGACAAAGGTCACAAAGCAAAAAACCCAGCAGGTAGAACAGAAAACTTACTTACTTGAGAGACTGGGGTCTTTCAAGTTTCATCACTATGTAAAGAAGAGACAGAAAAATCAAATTTCACTTTCAGTGTTCTCAGGTACACTTTTTTCTTAGCCTCGAAGCTCCTGACCACTAAATTATAAAACTTATGTTCAACTTAGACAAAGAAAGCTAAACCGCTGCTGCTTCAGCATACTGGAACTACTGAAAAAGGTATCAGGAACAAAACAAAAAAGGAAAAGCTCGCTAATTAAAGAAAGACAGCATATGACACAATAAGGCAAACTGGTTAAACCAGGAGGGTGATACAAGTGTCTCTGTGCAGTGGCTGAATTTTTCATGAGCTCATAACCTAAAAAACAGATACGCTAACCCTGA